GCCACAATAAAAACACAATTGTCTGTTACAGATATGCCTAAGTTGAAACTCAGAAGAGTTATTCACTTAAGCCCACAGTACAGAAAATAGCCGCCAACGCTAACAACCTAATGTGACTGAAAGATCTTGGAATTGGACTGTAGGATAATTGATACTGTAACCCCACTTAAGTAGTCCTTTCTACTCAAAAGAATGTTCCAGAACTTCAGTCAACGATTTATGAGATAGATTATCAACTGTCGAGTTCACATTCAGTGATCTACGAACGACGAAAAGTGGACAACCTGGTGATAACGGACTGGTGAGTATTTTCAAATAAATTGCCGAGAAAGTGAGTACCCGCGGCCACGCCATTGACCTTAATAAAAAAGCAATAGCCAGCTAAGCAGACTTACTTGTACTGAAGCCGGGGGGTAGTTATGGCTATCTGGGCAGATAACTGTCAAGTCCTTACGTTATCGATGGATGGAGCAGGGAGTACTAATGGCTGCGTCGCGGATAGGCGACTCTAATTATAACAATCACTTATTGCCTTTTTATTCGACTCGGGCTGCAGAGCGAGACCAGAACAATAGCTATGATGGGTCGACGTAACTGTAATCAACAAAAAAGTCTTGTGGAAGTCACTTTAAACGCGAACAGCAGTTTAACTTTCAGACATGTATAGACGAGAAAATAATCTGACCCATAGACGTTACCGGCTTTGGTATCATGCATTCATTTGCAGTCATGCATTATGCATCTAAACCATGAACTGATTAAAATGGAAAAAAATTGGCTGACCGTACGAGCATCTTTGAACTACTAGGTCAGATAATGTTTGTGACGATGTCAAAGCACTGCTGAAGAAAAAAGGCCAGTTCTCATAAAACGCTACAGCCAGAATCCATTCGAAAGCAGCCAATAAGCAACTTTTTAAGATTCGATGAAATAACTGATAACGGCGAAGAAGTTGTTAAACCAGTCCTTAGTCACAGTTTAGGTTGACGCGTATACAGAGAAGACAGATATTAGTAAGGCGCCTTTAAATCATGATTGTTCCAGCCTATAATTGAATAGTTACCAAACAAACAGTGTATGGTGATGGCGTGTCAGCTGCCTGAAGTCATGAGGGGGGGGGGCAGTATGATGGATACTAATTTCAAGAATGTGAATTCAACTGGGCGGTAGACTCTAAAGTTGCACCGATAAAGGACGTTACCTCAAAGTCTAGATGCGAAAATTCAGAAACGTTAACATACGCTGGCAGACCGATTGAGTAATCCGGCTCGCAGATTACTCGTCGGCCCTACCAGGGTTGTGGAGAGCATCAGTTCCCATGGCTGTTTGGAATTTCGAGTGTAAGACGCTCAGTGGGTTTGTTTAATGTTGTCTGCTCTAATATCTTTATCCGACGAGAAATAAGCTCAAAGGGACGATAGCAAGAAGGGTTGTTATTTATTGTCCTACTGCTGCCACCAGACTTTA